GTTATCTATATTTTTTTATTTCACATCCATACAAAATACATTTATATATAAGCAAATGTGGAAATTTAAGGTCAGACCCCTAAAGGCACTGACTATATAATCTCTTTTCTAACCAAGACCAAGCCAAAATAAATCTACTATTCACTGTAAAAACAGTACAGCATTTTTTTATGGCATGTGGAATATAAAACATCTGAGCAGTTTTCCAAAGCACTTCTGTTAATATGTGACTTTGTGTTCCTGTTACAGTGCAGCCAAGGCATTTCTTCAATCTGCACCTAGTAAATGATTAGCTCCACACATGTGGCAGCTGTCAGCCTCAACTGATTCACACACAGGAGAAGGAGTTTGCAAAGAGTATGTGAGCTCTTTGCTCTTTGCCAAATACAGGCAAAAAGTGGGAATCTGCAAAAGAGCTTTATGAATGTGATGTTTGCTTTACTTGTTAGAGGTTGGTTGGAGTGAGCCAGTTTGCTCCTGAGAGTTACAAGATTCTTAACCATTTGTTTTTCCCCCTCTGTTTTTTAGTCAACAGAGCAAGAAATTTCCACCAACTAACAAACTGTACACAGTACATTTTGACCTTAGGAACAGTGGGATCTACAACAAGAACCATGTAGAGCTATAGTTTAAATAGCTCTGTTATTCAAGTGTATATGTGCTCTATTATTTAACACTCAAATAATATCTGAAATAAAATGTGTACGCCTGATGTTTTCATTGAAATTCAGACCTTTTTCCATTTGCCAGTTCAACAAAGGCGGATTGGGAGACAAAAATCTGAAACAAGGGTTGTTTAAACAATGTTGAACACTAACAATCTATTTATCTTTACACTTTTTAAACAGGTATTAGGAAGAAAGTCTTTGAGGGGGGAAAAAGCTTTTTGGTTTCGTAGATGTAAATGGCAAAACAGGATTTACAATAAAAAGTATAACAACTGGAACATTAATTTTCTAAAATTCTTAACCTTTTTGAGTACCATCCTAGCTTGCATACACCCTGGAAAGAACAGGCAGCACATTGTCCTCAAATGTTCACACCCACAGCAATACAGAGAATAAAAACCACATTGGCACGTGACCAAACTCATATACATACATACATATATCTACATCTTAACTACTATGTTTAACTATCACACAGATTTCAACACACTTTTCGGTAAACGGGAAGTTATACAATACGTCCAACACCACATGACAGTCAGTTAGCAGCTTTTGACTATCGCAGCCAATTAAAATGTGAAAAAGGAAGAACTTTTTAAAGTCTTTTTAAGACTCTTTGCTTACATCCTGAATTTTCTATTTTTCCTCAGCTAAGCAGCTTCACTTTTGCAAAAAACACCAAAGTGTAAAAACACTAAACGCTAAGACTTAATTAGAAATAGCATGGTATGGATTGGGACATAGCATTGTTATGCCTAAACCAATACACACCCAATTTTAGTAATCATGTAACAGAACAAACTGCAACAGTACAAGCCATAGATTTCATTATCTGAAGTGTGATGACTGTAATGTTGGATGTAGACAACCAGCTAAGCACATTGTCAAAATTGCTTTTCCCTCCCTGTCAGTTTTATTTACTGCCCCCTTAAGGCAGCAATCAAAATTTGCATAGCACTCTCAGCTACAGCCCAGAAACTCATGAATAAAAGATAAACAGGCTTGAAGGAGCCAAGTTAACAATGTGCAAGGCTACATCTTGACTTATCATCATACCTTCATTTGAAAGAAGGAGCAGTTATATTTGTTTCACACTCAGTTCATCAAACGCACCACATGTTGTAGCAGACCACTGATGAATAATGCAGTGCTTTGGCAGAGGAGCCTTGAGAGGGACAGGGCATGGTCTCACTGGATTCCTTACTTTGAGGAGCCCCTTCTACTGATACAACTAATCAAAAGACAGAACAATGCAAACCCATTTCCAATGCAGTTTTCAAACCATCTTCCAGTCGGAGGAAGAACAGACGGTGCAGCTTGTCCTCTTAAAAAGCTTAAGTGGTCCTGTCTCCTCTATGCTAACTACTTAAAAATCTGCAAGCAGTACAGACATTATCCCACTCAAACATTTCTGCCTCAATAACTTATCTCTTTTAATCATTTAAACTTTACAGAAAATATAAACCTTGTCATGAAACCTTGATAAAAAAAAAAGCAAACACTTGGTGTTTACCAAGTGTTGCTGTGTGGCGACATAAGTACTAATGTAGCTGACAGCACAATTAAGATAGGAGCCTTACAGCCATGGTAACAAAAGAAAAGATGCAGATTCACTGATATGCACACAGCTGCCACTCAGTAACTTCGGTCATATTAAAAGGAGCAGGATTTGTCCTCAGCTATGAAGGAAAGCACTAACGGCCTTTCCAGGCTAGAGATTGGAGCCCGCTGCCTGCGCCAAGGTCAATAAGGCATGAAGAAAGGCCATGGAAGGGTCACACTGGACAGAGCTTCTTGTTCAAAACACAACAGCCCCTCACTTAGGAAAAGGGCCCAACACAGTAAGCGAGAAAATGTAGCAATGTTGCTGGAAATTCATCTTTGCTGGAGCAAACATTTCCAGCAAAGATGAAGCTTCCAGAAGTTTTCCATGATAAAACAGGAATGCTTCCACAGAGGAAAAAATGGTCCATGATCAATCGATGAACAGTCAAGTTTCATGATAGTCTGGCCGAGTTTATAGGAAAACAGATGAAAATCATCCCTTTTAACGTAAGACATATGCGCATGCAAAAATAAATGTGGCTAGTACCGACCTGTGGTAGAAGACTAAATGTATCATTCAAATGTCAGTAATAAAGGTCGTTTCTTTTTTTAAACAAGAACAACAGTACAAAAAATCGACACATTCTTGTCCAGAGACTATGTGCAGTGCCTGGACACAAATGGCTGTTTAAATGTATGATGTACTGTATGTATCTCTGCCCTATGAATAGTAACAAACAGATGCAGAAATTCTGAGAATCCAGGCAAGGGTTGAGCAGGGAGGATTTGAGGGAGAGGGCAAAAAGCTGCAGACAGACTGTAAGCCCTCCAGAGTAATCGCATGTGGGATACTCCTCTGAAATCTCAGAAATATTTTCAAGGACAGAGATGCATTCCTGCTGTAATATACAGACCCCTTCAGATCTGGAATCAGCCAACATACCTTTTTTTTCTCATCTTAATTCACACAGCTGTGCGTGCACATCCATCTACTCTCCAAGCTGGAAAGACAGAATATTTCGAGAGTAACAACTAACGATACCTTAACTTAAAGGACTGAGGAGGATCCCACGCAGATAGCTCAGGATACCTTGAAATGTCATCTAATCGGAAACGTGACTAAGATCGAACGGCCGTCCCTGGAATGTTGGAATGAAACAATACATGAGTAATGCTGCCCATCACCATGACCCACACTCACTTTCAACCTGCTGTGTCAACAGGGCCGACCAGCAGGAATGCAGCAGCTACTGCCAATACACAAAGATCAATTCGGTGGCTCTGTAGCCAGTGCTTTAAAATACCACTTCACTGTTAGCTTCAGCATTTCAGACTGGTGTAAGAGCACAAGATGATACACAACTGATACTTCCTTTAAGAAGCATTGTAGTTGTTTATCACTGTTTTTTGGTTAGATTTTTTTTAAAGTTTTTTTTTTTTAAAAGTCACAGCAGGAAAATTGCTTAATTGTGACAAAACACTGGTTCCAACTAAAAATTCCAAGCTACTCCTCAAAAACATGACAAATAAGATCTCCCATAAAAAGAAATCCTGTTATTAAAATGACTTAACTTGAATAAAAGCATCTTACATTGCACTTTAAACATACATGTTTTCTGACCTTGTCATAGATGACCCACAATGTTGGTTTGCTGTCAACCTAGACATCTGTGATCTGAAAACAACACGTCTGGTTACATGACGCCACACGTCAGTACACACCAGATCATAAAGATTTCCACCAGAAAACAGGCGTACACACACGCAGTACTGGGAAATCCACCCAACAGCACCCTTTGTGCATCTTTTACATCATCACAATCAAAAACAAGCCTTGTGTTTTGCCCTTGCCTCTGCGGCGATACAAAATATTATCCACACAAGGCTGCATTATCTGACTCACGCTCTTGTTACTGTGACTGAGAGGAGAACTATGCTGTACGTTACCATCTGATGACCAAAGTTTCTTAGCAATGAAGCTTATGTTATGAAATGCAGCCACCCTTTGATCCAGCGGCAGAGTGCTCACACCTGCATGAGGGAGCAGGAGTCGTAGTATTTTGTCGTCTTTGTTGTTATACATGCCCTTTCTTGGCCTCTGGGGAATGGATTTAAGTCTCCAGGTATTTAAAGACAAAGGAAAGAGGTTAGAGGCCCTGGAGGAAGCTGAAGGCGAAGGGCTCACCTGGTTACAAGCAGCAATCTTTAAATGAACGGAGTGCTTGTAAACCTGTCAAGTCAAGACATTCATTGATGTATTGTGTTTACACTGTGGGCCCAGCTCTTCTTACATAACTGACCCTATTGATTATCACCTATCTGTATTTGTTATAGTCAGTCAATACCAATTATTTAACACCTCTGCACCCTTGACTACCTGTTGGCTAAAGGTCAAGTTTTTTTTCTCTTCTGCAGCGATACACACAAGCACACCCTGTTTCCGGGTGTCCTGTACATGTGTCTTAAAAAGGCTGTTAACACTGAATTCCACTTTTATCTAGAAATAAGTGAGAAACCAATAGAGATACAAACTGATATGAAAAAGACAATCAGCTTATCCCAATCAAAACAAGACACTCACTACTTTGTCAACATATCATCCTGCAATCACAGCCTCATATTCACAAACACATGACAGAACTTATTCACTCCATGTTTTGACTACCACCTCGCTTAGTCAGTATTCCTCTCAATCCTGGAAAAATGACAAATTCACTCAAAAACCAAACAACCAAAAGAATTGAATAATTGTCTGAACTGTCACTTCTGTCCTAACAAGCCTCCTACCTCCAGCAATCTTCTTGAGTAGTTGCTGCCTGGCAATAATCCTGCCCAACCTGTAGCCAGAGCGTCTGCGGTGATGGTCCATTCTCAGGTATATATCCTGAGTCTCAGGGGTCATACTCCCGAGGCACTCACTGGCCGTGGACTCGGGAAGCTCCCAAAACATAACTGTAATAAGCCCCTATCCCCTGGCTGATAAACACTCAACCACACAGGGTCTGACCAACAGAAAACTTCACATACATGCGTGAAAAGCCTAAAGTGAGCAGAGAGGGAGGGCACAGCGGAGGCTATGGGGGGAGGAGTGCCAACACTTCAGCCTGTCTCTGCAGGCCATGTGACCACAATGAAACCAATTGCAAGCAGGCAGTGGGAGTACTGCCCACCTTTCTGAGCTGAATCCAATGTCTGTGTGAATACTTGTCAACTTCCCCCTGCTCTGGAGGGAAATATAAATACCACTGGAATGCCTATGAACTGAGTAAGGAGAGCAGGAGAGGATGAAGAGGGGTTTGGGAGGGCTTACAAAAATAGTGGCTTTCAGACCCTCCCTGTGCTAGAACAATACTTGTGCTGTTGCAGGTCACACAGGCACCAAATTTACTGCACGAGAAATTCTTGGTGTCGTTTTCGAGAAAACTACGGAACGGGAATGAGAGCGAGAAGTTGTTCTTCATTTGCGAAGTCTCATTTCTGCTCACCCACACCCACCACATAACAGCCTCTCATAACAGCCAGTCACAGGAAGTGCTCTCAGTAGGCTGCCTATAAGTGTCAGCTACTCAGAGGAAAAATAGCTTGGAGTTGGAACACGACTGACCTAATTCCACTTTACTAAACTGAAAAGTAAAGATCAATCTCCAGCAAGTACTTTAATCAGTTCTGATGATCAAAATTAAAGGCTTCATCTCCCTGACACAATAATGTTTAGTCTCACTTTTGTACAATCTGACTATTATCATGTAATAGTTCCTCATAATTGCAGCTGTTGTAGCTGGTACACAAAGATTTAATGACTTTCCATTTTCTGCCATGGACCAACAGACATCTATCAAACTGTGACTTTAAATAAAGCTGTGTAGAACAAAAGGAAAAATTAGGTATTTATGGGACAATCGCTACAACTTATTACAACTTCTTTTTGCATATAATCCCCCCCTCGCCCCCATTTATTTGTTTATTTATTCATATGCAACTCCGCAAGCTCATTTTCTTGTAAGAGATTCCAGGACAGTAACAAAGTAACAGCTAAATCAATGTAGAATGCATTAAAATAAAGATAAACAATCACATGCTCCCTTAAACACATTCTTTGTGATTCCCTTATGCTTATTAATGACAGAGCAACACATCCCCTGCAATCCTAAAGCTTTTTAGAAGCTTGTGAAAAGGTAAATGTCCTGTCCCAGTGGGATCAGATATTAGCCGCTCTTTGAAACTGCTAGATTGCACCAATGTATGGGCAGTGTAGGTGACAGTTCGGTGCATTCACTTTATTTGCGCTCTATCCAGGCAACTCCACATGGCTTATTATTTCCAGTATTGCAAACACATCTCATTTGGACTATTTTTTGTGGAAAATATCCCAAACATACCCTCCAGAAACTAAACAAAGCTCAGCATAAAAACGGCGTTACAAGGTTGGATTTTTTGACTCCGCCTTCTTTTCAGGTTTTACAAGTAAAACCAAAAATGAATCTCCTCTAAGCTAAAGAAAAAAACCCATCTCCAATATTTTCAAAAGCAAGTCACTTACTCCATTTGGAATGGCAAACTAAATCATATATTCTTATGATTTTAAAGTCCACTTCTGTCAGCCAGTTTACACCATAAAATAACAGCCTTCTAATACCTGAAATATGCTTTGGTACCAGCAGACACACCCAGTGCCAATCAAGGTCCCTGCCACTCTCCCAGTGACTGTCCCGGCCTCAGCATACAGGCTTGTCTGTTTAGTGCGAGCATGGCGCCACACACGTGAATAGAGCAGAAATAGGCAAGCGACCAAGTTAAACACAGCCCCTGTCTGTTCCTCTCACTAGCTGGCATAATCCACCCTAGCTTAAGCTCACAAAGACCACAATTCAGCAGCACACTTCAGAGCCCGCTTCACATTTTCATAAACTTCTCCTGGGTTTAATGGCCCTCCCCACACCCTCAAGTGGCATGTTTAATACAAGGCTCTCGCTTTTTTAAAAGCACTAGGTGATGGTGCGACACCATTCAGATAATTTCATTGGATGACGACTCTTTTTTTTCTCTTTTTACACACACAAACACCTGCATTCATTCATGTTGTGAAAGAATGGCTTAAAGTGTTAGATGCAAAAAATGAGGGCAAACATTTCTGCATATTTCTCTTCCTTTTTGTCTAGACGATGTATATCACCGAGTGCATCATACGTATCACATTACAGAATCAATCTTGTAAATGACAGTGAATGAGATTAATGGTGTCACCGTCTCCGTCCATGCTCAAATACCTGAGCGGTGATCGTGAAAGAGCTACAACATCTTCTGTGTACTCAGAGATGTCCTTGTGTTTAACTTTATGTCGCAAGCCATGATGAAATGGCTGTGGTCTGTCCTTAGAGGGAGCGCAGTGACTCCAGCCCTTATCAAACTTGTTTCAACACGCCGCTGTCTGGGTTTCAGAGCTCAACTGCTATACCACATGACAACAGGAATCCAGACTCACATTACAGATGCACAAAAACATACAGAGGCTCTGTCAACATAGCTACCATGTCACAAAGTGGATTTTTATTGTTTATATACCCCATAAAGAAAAAAATAGATATATGTGATACTGGGTTTGAATCATGTCCAGTTCACATATAGCAGCAGTATCACACTTCATTATTAGGCCCAAGCCATAATGCAGACTTTTAATACATGTCAAACTTTCATTGCTTTCCACTCACTTTCTGCCATGTGTGATTACAAAAGGGGAACTTGTATTCTGAATCATCTTGAGTTAGTTGATGTTAGTCTGATGTGGTTTTATTCAGCAGCAGACACATGTATTCTGGACTGGGCAGTCTTGCTTCTGGTGTGGCTATGTTTCCTGTGGCTAAGTTTTAAGAATAACTCTAGTGTGACAGAAGATTTCCACTTCATGAGCCACCACATTTCTGACTGCTGAACTCAGCTCTGCATGATCATCACGCTCAAATACTGCAAGACCAGTTGAGCTCTATATGATGAGGTGGTTAAACTTTTTAACTCGCTTCAGCTCTTGGATGCTTTTTTTTTTGTTTTTAGCAAGACTTCATGCCTATATTTGTCATTGGGAGTGAATTTAACAATATAAATGCTACAAACCAATTATTTCACCATTGGCTTGTTAATTGTAAGTTTTGCTTCTGCTGGGGGTAAAATTTCCAGATAAAATTACGACAGGAGGACGGTTGCTCAAAGCTGCTTATTGACACTTAAACAAATATCTAGCATACCCATCAGCCAGGTGTGATTCTAAAAAAAAAATCTGTTTTCTGGATTTGAAGCTTGAGCTCTAAAGCTAAGTACAGAAGGAATATTTGTGGGTTTAGACACCAGGCATAATCTGCAAATGATCCCCAGTTCAAGATTGGGGGACACACAAAAACCCGATTTCTGGCTTAGATAGCCCCAATGCCAATGCCATACCCAGATAAACTGGAGGTTTTAAGAAGGCTTACTTGTGTAAAGTCTGTACCAAATCAAACGTGCAGATCTGTCTGCTGTGGCAACCCCTTGGGAAATAAGGAAGCAGACCAAAGTATCCAGGATTTATTTATTCCAGGATGCCTATGTCTCCACAATCTATCAGAACTGGACACACAGATCAAGAACGTCTCAACTCACTAAAGTGATGATTGACAGAGAAAACCACTAAACCCTCAGTTTATAAATAAACCAAATATTTTAACACTTTTAAGAGCTGTAATAGATGCGTCACAGTACTGTACAATACAGGCAATCTTGTATATTTGTATTCCTCCACAGAATTCAGTTGCAACACCTAAATATCAAATAAAATACTGTTACGGCTGACTTCTAAGGCTGCAACACAACTTACTCCAAAGCTCCTAAATAAGCCAAACAAATCAAATCAGGCATTTGACTTAAAGCTAAACTTTCAGTTTGAAAATTTCTGCTTTGCCAACAAAAATTCAGTTTAAGAGGTTTAATTAATGTCTAGGATTTGGACAAAGGCTCAAAGTCTCAAAGTCATAACCTTGGACTGTCACCTTATAATGAAAAAAAAGTTTGTGGTTTAAATTTATCTACATAGGCTGGCAGCTCACATCTCTTTGTTTGAATATGTAATGAACACACATTAATCTCAGAGGTGTTGATAAGGCTTATTAAAGCTTTGGTTTAAATTTGTTTGCTGCAGAATGGCCTTAAATGTATCTTCATAATATAAGATACTGTATAATTTATTTTTTAAAAATTAAACTAAACTTTTAGCCAGTTTGTTAGTATTTTAAGGTGCAAACACACTTGTCGCAACATAAGTTCTTTGTGACATCATAAGTTCTTCGCTGACAGACCAAATCCATCTCGAGTACCTCACTAGCACCATTATCTACATATACACTGAAAAAAGAAAATATCCAAAAATAGAAATTTGTACCGCACCTAGCACCCTAAAAACAGAGAAAAGAAAAAACTTTCAGACAGAGTTCACAAATGATTCAAATCGATTCCCATATGTCAGCCATCTACATCTGGGTCTGGTCTCTATGCAGCATTTGTCCCCTCATTGTTCAGTGTCTGCATAAGCAGCTTCACATGCTGCATATGGAAAAGAATGCAAGATTAATGTGTCAGATATCCAGACACTGGCAAACTCAGCTGCTGCACCAGTGACGTTCCTAAACAGGCTTCACAGCTGAGCCAAGCATAGATCAGATCTGATATGAAACTCTGTGCGCACACTCATAAAAACATCTGGTCTCCATTTGAATGACTACAGCACTTCAAATCCACCAGTGAAGACAGAGCTGTTTTGTCATCCATGTGGTTTTCCCCACATAAGGCGCTATTGTGGTCACTTTACTGCACCTGGCGGTACACTCGGGCAACTGCACAGATGACTGACGTTCACTTCTGACGCAATTCTCTCAGGGCCATTAAGAGAACCAGTGCAACAAAAACTGACCTTGAAATTATTAACTTAAATCGATCCCAGAGTACTCTAAAAATTAAACATTTTCCACATTATGTAACACAGTCTTAGAAGAAGCAAAAAAAATACCAAAACATACCAATAACAAAACTGTGCCTATTGTGGTAAATGTTTCCATCTCTTTTGCCATTAAGTGCCACTTCCTCATATAGAGTTAATTTCATACGCATTTCAAAAAGTTAACATGTATGCTATACGTGCTATTACTTGGAAAATAAAGTTCACTTTCACTGAATAATTCTTGGCAACACATGTGTTGTCACCGAAAAAGGCAGATGCATTTTGAAGGGGTTAAAGCACCTATGTGTAAACATTTTCAATGCAGTCACAAAGTTGCTTCAGTTTGGGTTTATTTGGGATTTTTTTTTTGAGCCAAGTATGAGCAAATAATGTAAAGGGAAAAAAATGTGATCTATAATCTCAAAGACAGTGGCACAGAAAGCATGCACAATAATGTTACCCTGCAGAAATACAGTCATTATAACTAATGAAAGAAAACCAAATGAAAACCAATTTCTTATGAACACAATAATAACTTAACGTAAATTATGTGACAGAAAATAAGATCAAACATTGCTTCATTCAATCTCATTCACTTCATAAAGCTGGTGAAATTACTTATCAGCGCCCCCTTGCGACCTCACTGTCATTTGAAAGTAATAAAAAAAATCGACGCTAATAAAGGAAAACTCTCCTACAGAAAGGTATTAAACTGTATTTATTATAGGTTTATGGCATTTATTAGACAGTTTTTTTAGTTTGCTGCCTAACTACCTACACCTTTAACTGAGCGCAACTAAAAAAATAATTTTTAAAATTGTAATATTAGACCAGACTACATGCACGCGTGGAGTAATTTTTAGGATAAACAGTATCAATAGTGTCTAGACAAAAAAAAAATCTACCAACACAAAACAAATTCATAGCCTACCACATTAAGAATGTGTTTTCTTCTTAAATTCTCTTTAAATGTCACTCTGATCAGTGTGCAATAATAAAACAATAATAATTGTTATACACGAATTATATACGAATTAAAGAACTCTCCCCAGTAATAAGATGGGGTCACCTCAGTCTCTGCTGCGGTGGATGACACTCTATTCCAGCCTATACCGCGGGCTAAGATCTGACCTGAAGCGGGCTACTGACCTGCCAGTCTCCGCTCTCTGACACCCTTCCAGAGTAAATCCCAGGCTTTGGATGTGGAGCTCCACAGCTGCTCGCTGAAAGACCGCCGGAGCTTCAGTTTCGCTGACCTTCTTTTAGAATTCATCTCAAATCCTCCACTCGGACATAATAATAAACTCCTCCTGGTCTCTCACAAACCCCTTTAAACACCCCGACACAAAATCACCTTTTCCCGGCTTCAAGTTCTTTCTATAGTGGCGGCAAACCTGACTCCGGTGACCGGTCTTCAAACGAAGTTGTCACCATTTCAAGGGGAATTAAATGTATCCCTCCCAGTTAGAAACGGAAATCAGCAAGACAAGTAAAAGTAAGAAAGTGACAGTAAAGCATTAAGCGCGGCTTTCCCACTTCACACCAGATGTGTTTGTGTGCGCGCGTGTATCGACACACAGCCCTGTAGTCGTGATGCCTTCAAGTACCGTGGGAAACATGGAAATTGTTAGGAGAACCGATATGATCCTTACAGCGAAACAGTACATAATATCTGGGAAAGAAGCAGCGGAGCTTAGAGGGCTGGTGTGAGCAAAAGTGGTTAGATTACATAATTTTAAAACCCAGTTTTGAATAAAATAGTTTATGCATTTCACAAATACGTTTACAGTATATAGAGTACAGTAGAAGAAATATTAGCTACCTTTAAACCCATGTCAGTGAAGTCAACATTAGCCTATGACACATTTATTATATGTTCTCGGTTTAATATTTATTTTTTTCAGAACATAAACACACATTTTGTGCAGCAAAGTTTTCTGGACTCCATCGTGAAACTGACTCTGTCATTTGTAACGCTGGCTGTCATCTTATCAGCACTATTACAGCTGAGCAGTTAATACAATATTGTGTACAATGTTAACGCTTTGCATACAAAGTTACTTTTTAGATTAACGCTTCCACAGTTGTACTCGTTAAATTTTCAAGTGGTGCCCAGGTCTACGTAGGGCACTTGAAGGCATCACGAGCTACAAACCACGCAACACCGCAAATACACACCGTGGCTCTCAAATGACAGAATCCACAAGCGAGCAATCACTTTCTCCTGTACTGTCACAATATTCTAATATGAAAATCCAGAAAAATAGCACTGAAATAAATAAATCCAAAATTAGACAAATGCTCTATTATAGGTATTCTTTGCGTGTGATGATTAATAATAATTATTCAGTTATTTTACTTAAAAATTTGTGTATTATCTTTACAGTCAGTCTTTCTTTATTAGATATAACTGACAACTCGCATATAGTCTTCATCAGGCAAACCCTGCTAGTACCAAGTTGAACTCCCTTTTGCCTTCATAGCTACCTCAGTCCTCTGCCTTAATTCTGAAAGCATCACAGACTTCCACATGCATGATGCAAATCTCATGTTTCATCACATCTTAAAGGTTACCTAAGATCTGGTGGATGACAAAGTAAGTGAAATACCATCCTGCTGGAAGATGCTCAGAAGATGGATACACTGTGGTCATAAAGGGATTGACATGGCATTTAAATGATGCTCAGTTGGTGCTAAAGGACCCAACGTATACCAAGAAATTCTTCCCCACACCGTTACACCAACAGCAGCACCCTGACCCAAAGATACAAAGCAGGATCGATCCATGCTTTCATGTTGTTTACACCAAATTCTGACCCTACTACCTGAATCTCGCAGCAGAAATCGAGACTCATCAGACCAAGTAGCAACATTAACATTTTCAACTGTCCGATTTTGGATTGATCAACGAAAATTCTAGCTTTAGTTTCCTGCTCTTAGCTGACAAGAAAAATCACACAGTGTGGTCTTTTATTGCTGTAGCCCATCTGCTTCAAGGTTTGGCATGTTGCACATTCAAATAGGGTCTTCTGCATTCTTTGGTTGTAACGAATAGTTGAGCTACTGTTGCCTTCATAACAGATCGAAGCAGTCGGGAATTTGTTCTCTGACCAGTGACATCAATGAGGCATTTTTGCCCTGAGAGCTGCTGCTTACTGGACATTTTTTCTTTTTCTGGACCACTCTCTATAAACCCCAAATACTTTTGTGTGCTAAAAATCCCAGTAGATCAGCAGTTTCTGAAGTACTCAGACCAGACTATCTGACACCAACAACCATGCCACATTCAAAGTCACTTTCTTCTCCATTCTGTTGCTCAGTTTTAACTTCAGTCCAACAGGTCATCTTGACCATGTCTACGTGCCTGAATGCACTGAGCTGCTGTCATGTGATTGGCTGATTTGATATTTGTGTTAATGAGCAACCAAACAAGTGCACCTAATGAAATAGCCTGTGAGTGTATGCGTTAGCTGTTACCAGAATTTGCACCTCTGTTCGGGACAATGTGGTCTATTACTCAAAGCTTAACATGGGTTCAGAGTGTTCTCCCCAGGTAGGTCTGAGCAGGTTACATGTTTAAGAAAAAACAAATAAATTTCTTTTTACAAAAATGTGCAACAAAAATACTAATGCAAGAAAACGTCAGGTCATCCCTGAAGAATAACCACAGTAAGCTCTTCTAAGCTGGCTGCTGCCATTGAAGACAGCAGCTTCAATGATCATTCTACCATAATTATTTTAGGAATTTCCTCCTATTATTGTATGCTCGCTCAGGCAGTGCATGACCTAAATGCAGTGATATCATATCAGCTGAATTCATTTCATGGGCACCAGCTGGGATTGCTGCTGTAACAGGTTTAAATCCATGCTAAACACACAGAATGACACTTTCTGGAATAACTAAACCTCTGCTGACCCCAGCTTGCCCTCTCAGTATGAAGCTGATGTGACAGTGCTGAAATTAATAAAAGACAAAGACCATTTTTCTCCTGAGCAGGACAGGTGATTTAAACATTATAGCAAGGTCACATAGTGAGATATCTCTGTACCAAAGTGTGTGCAGCTGAGAATATTAATGAAGGGCTCAGTTTTCCATTTGTTCTGTTTGAAAGTGAAATTATACGATGTTAGGGAGAGTTAGAAACTGCACGTAGGAGCCCATAGAACTCCTCTGATCTTAGCTTATCTGACATGACAACAATAACAGCTGCATACTTCTCATTTTATGTTGCAAACATCAAATACTTCCAACCAGGCAAAATATCAAAATTTACACATTTACCGTTTTCTCAGTGTGTAACATCCTTTTTCTGTATTTCTATAAAAAGCGATCTGTCACTCTTAGCAAGTGACAGGAATGAAATGTATTTCAGAAAATATAGATGCTTTTTTTTAGGCTCGCCACTGGCCTGTTCCGCAGCCAGTGATCAGTGTGGTGCTATTTTCAGCACCACTTATTCACCTCGGGCTAAAATGTAGCTCGGAGGACTAAAACACACGTACACACTTCGGTAAAGAAGCTGCTTCATTTGATCCTGTGAGTCTTTTAGAAAGGGTCAGGGTCAGGCCGAGTCAAGCACTTTGTTTTCCACTGGTCACATGACCCAGGAAGCCCACAGAGAAAAGGCCAGAATGTCAACAGACAGCACAATATCTAATTTAACACAAAAGACAGTAACAGCTGTTGACGTTGTCTTTCTGGGGGAGGTTTTTTATTACATGATTTTTGTCACAAAGAACCCATCTTGATGCACCTGTAGTAGACACGGGTTGAAAAAAGGACAGTGAAGACAAGATCTTGGCAATGTAAACAAGGGACGAGTCTCTAGTCTCAGTGACGTAGAAGGCAAGAACGGACAGATAGACAATACCAACCCTGTCATCTTCTAAAGAGCAAAAGGTGATGGAGGAAGAACAGCAACTAGATTTTGACCTCTTTTGACATAAATCACCAAAGAGGAAAAAACGCAACCTACTTACTCTAAAAAGAAGCCACTTGGACAGTAAAGACGAGCATTATCACACTGTGGATCATTGTGGCTAGACAATGACTTAGCCTCTGGAGCAGTCCTTGGCAGCAGAAGTAATAGCAGATGCAAAGAGAGGAAACATCAGTCAGCTTGAGAATGTTTTCCCTTTGCTGACTCACCCACTTGTTTATTTTGGCCAGGCAGCACTCGTTTTCCCGTTTTCCCCGAAAAAGTGCTGTACTTTCTGGACTACATTTTTTTTCCTCCCTTATCCACCCTCTCTCTCTGTCCTTCATAAACACAAACAAATAAACACACTGATATTTACTCATGCATTATATTTCTACATTTGAACAGTTCCAGAGTTCGAACCGTTGTCTGTGCCTATGTCTGGTGACAGATGTGGAATGCTGTCCCATTACTGTAGTGGGAAAATCCCCGATGCGAGGAAACTGATTTCTCCTCCTTGAATGGGTCATGTTCTTGGCCAGGAGGTCTTACACCAGGCCCCCTTGAAATGTCTGGGAGATTGCACTTCCCAGCCTAATGGAAACAAAGCACAGGGAATGGGGAGATCGCTCCTCCACCTCCATCCCTGCCCCTGAGGGCTTGTCTCAGGCATGTGCTATAAATTTCCTGACCATATATTCCCAAGCCGAGTTCATTTTTCCAGCAGAGCCACACATGTGGTGTATATCTGGGTTTAGATTATGTGGTTGAGGAAGGAGGGGCTGACTTTGGTCCCAATCCATTAAAGTGGCCACTAATTCTGTTTTCTTAAAGGGCCGTCTGTTGTAACGTAATGGTTTCTTCCTTTAGTAAGGCTTGTTCTTTTTAAAGCCATTAAATCCAAAATAGATGATCATTTACTTTTAGTCTTTCTTCAACAGATTAACTGAGATTTTTCATGTTTCTTCACATCTTGTTATTGCAGTAGAAGTTTACATAACTTGACATCTTGAATTAAACTATAAGTGAGGTAAAACTCAAAAACATATACAAATATTCCCCATGCCATGAAGCTTCTGTAGATGCGTAAGTCCACAGGGGTCAAAGTTTGTAAAAACAGGCTTGAGGAATGTAAAACTGGCATGACAAGCGTATGTGGCTATTGTTTAATTGAATGACAAAGCATGTAATGCTGTCAGGTCTGAATCTCTTAAAGCTGTGCTG